CTCTTGGGGGTGGGTTCCCCTGGGGTGTACGAACCCCGGGCCCTGTAATTCCAGGGCTGCTTTGATTATTTTCTCTGCCTCTCAGATGGAAAAGCAGACTGTCAAGAGTCTTTACTGTGCTTTTCACTCCAGAGAAGCCTACAGGGGTATTAAGTGTTTATAAATCGGCCTGGCGGGCCGCCAGCCTGCACTGTGCCAAAGTCGCACATACGGGAGCATTCCTGACAATTGCAACAGAACTGAAACGTTGCGCGAGTGAGTTACCAGGCTCAGCTACGGAGCTGAGCGTCATCATGCCAGGAGAAGGACGTGCCTGCCAGCCACGGACTATGGTTCCTGGGGATGGAGATGGAGCAGGGCCCCGGGGGGGGGGGGGGGGGGGGGGGGGGGGAGGCGAGATTCTGTCTCTTACTCCCCCTTGCAGTGAGTAAGCCCTGGTCTACACTAGGGCAAAATAACCCCCCTTCGGTCGAATTTATAAGTGGAGCATCCACACGACCCAGCCCGTTACTTCGAAATAAGGAGCCGCTTATTTTGAAATCTGGGCTCCTGCTTTCCATCGGGGAATAGCGCTAATTTCGAAATAGCGGTAGTATGGACACTCCGACGCCAGAGCGATGGGAACTAATTACCCCCCAGTGCCCTGGGGCTCTAAGTCGAGGTAGCGCATCTACACTAATGGAGCCTGCCTGGGTCTAATATCGAGGCTCCCCGTTAGTGGGGACATGCCATGTTGAATTTGGACCATTGGGAGTTATTAAGTCAAATTTAGTTATTGCGAAATAATTTTCTAGTGTAGACGTGGCCTTAGTGACTTGGGCAAGTCCTTCTCCTGGGGTTCTCTGTAAGTTTGAGCTCAAGATCCCAACCTACCTGGGGAAAGTGGGTGAGACCTTTTGTTGACAGGTAGTCCTACAAGCGGCAATAGAATCCTGCTCGCCCATGCAAACAGTGGTACAGGAACATATGTCAGAGGGGGGGGTCAACATTCCCTCAAATCTTTTCCATGTGTGGAATAAATGTTGCTATGTGCACTGAGGAATGTGCAAATGTGCACCACCAGAAAAAACACAAACCTAGCTGTGGACATTCAGCTGATCAGCTTTGCAGCCTTGGAATCTCTCTTGAGCAGCTGCACAAATGAATGGCTTACAGGGGAGATTGGCGGGGGTATTGAAATCCAACCCTCTTATGCCCCTCCAGCATGTGGGGCCTGTAGCCAGGACTCCAGGGTGGCAGCAGAACCCCCTGGCATGCCAGGTCAGCTACTGAGCCAGCTGGCATGGAGGGCGGTAGTTGGGACCCTGGGCAGCTGGAACCCCAGCCCCTGGACAGCAGCTGACCGCTCCACCAGAGGTGTGGGGGCAGCAGCCAGGACCCCTGCATGGGGGGATGTCAGCAGAGGCAGCTAGAATGTGGGGTGGAGGCCGGGAGCCCAGAGATACTGCAGCACCGCCTGTACCCCTAGTGCCTGCGCCTATGTGTGCACACTTTTCTCTCTACGGAGAACAATGACAAATACACATTTTAAGTGGCAAAGATTTGCCCCAGACTGTGCTTTGACTGTCCAGTTTCCATCTTTCTCTGCACCTTGGAAAAAATTATTTAGTTGCCTCTCCCACGTAGTATTTATACAGCCGGCTGGAGAACAACAGTTCCATTTGGCAACAACTTTTGAGGAGCCAAAACTTGTTTTCATTTTGCCTTGGAATAGGAAGAAACCTGTCGAGGGCTTTGCAAAATGGAATTGTTGGAAAGGTCAGAGACTGGATTCGGGTCTCTCTCCTTCGCTCTCTCTGGCAGTGACCTGAGACTTCAGAAATCTTCTCGATGAAGAACTTTAAGGAAACTGATACCTCCCTGTGAAACATTTCAGCTTGGACAAGACGGTGGGTTTTTTCTGTGCAGAAATGTTTAGCCAGAAATGTTCCAACCAGCGCCACTGAATATGTGTGAAACAAAATACAGGACTATGTAGCACTTTGAAGACTAACAAGATGGTTTATTAGGTGATGAGCTTTCGTGGGCCAGACCCACTTCCTAAGATCAAATAATGGAAGAAAATTGTCACAACCATATATACCAAAGGATACAATTTAAAAAAAAGAACACATATGAAAAGGACAAATCACATTTCAGAACAGAATGGGGATGCGAGATGGGGGGGGGAAGGAAGGTAAATGTCTGTGAGTTAATGGTATTAGAGGTGATAATTGGGGAGGCTATCTTTGTAATGTGTGTGTGTGTGTCTGTGTGTGTGTGTATGTGCGTGTATGTCTGTGTGTCTGTGTGTGTGTGTCTGTGTGTCTGTGTGTGTGTCTGTGTGTGTATGTGCGTGTGTGTATGTGTGTGTGTGTGTGTGTGTTTAAAACGTGATTTGCTGTCGTATCACAACAACGAAATAAGGGTGAGTTCTGTGGCACCTTAGAAACTAACCAATATGTACAGAATCCTGAGCTTTCCGTAGCTCCTGACTGTGCACTTTGGTTGGTCTCTGGTGCCATGGGACCACTCCTTGTTTCTAAAGTGACGGACCGACCCGGCGACCCCTCGCTGATTATTCTTTCATTTCTATGACTGTGGTCTGAAGGAGCCCTAGGACTGGCTCATGCCCCCCCGTGGTTTGTGCTCTACAAACACAAAACAAAAAAGGGTCTCTGGCCCCAAAGACCTTCCAATCTCAGCTTGAGGCAAGAGGCTGCAGCTGGATGCAGACCGACAGGGGTGCCGGGGACAGTGAGACAGTAGGGACCGTTCCGCTGGCTTGCAGGGTGAGTGGGGGAAGATGACACCGCAGACAAGAGGATCCAAAGCTGTTCTCCAGGCTGAAACATCTGGTATTGGACATCCACGCAAGAACACATCCCAGGCACACCCCCTGTATGGAGCACTGGCATTGCTAACGATGCTCCGCAAGGCAGTCAGCCGTCAGGCAGGCCCTGGACTGATTATAGCTGGCCTTAGTCTCTGAAGTACCCCCAGAGCATTCGCGAGGAGGCGTGTGCAACCCTAACGCCAGGAACGTGCACATGATGATCTTCTCCGGGTCCAGTGGAACTGGGCTCAGACCAACCACAGCTATTTGCTGACACTAGAAGAAACAGTTTCCTTTGTGGGAAGGAGGGGGGGGGGGAACCTAAGCCCCGGGGACCAGATGCAGCCACTGGCTTGTCTGGATGCAGCCCCTGAGGCTTGGGGCTCCCCCCAGGATTGGGGAGCCCACGCTGGTGAGGGGCGGGGCTGTTTGGTTCTCACTCGTGTGCAGCCCCTGACTGATTTTTCTGTGAGTCCGTGGCCCCCACCCAAAAACGGTTCCGGCCCTGCCTTAGTCCTACCCCAGTGGGGCCATGTTGAAGGCAGATAAGGAAGCGGGAGTGAAAAGAAGTGGCTTCCCTGCTACAAGTGAGCAGAGGGGAGGGGGACCAGGGGGGTGCGGGTAACTCAAAGCTTGTGGGACAGGGGTCTGGAAGCGGGGCCCTTGGGTGAGCCAGCAGGGGAGACTAACATACCCTGGCACCTCCCTCCCCCGCAGAGGATGCCAGGTGGCCTCGGGGACTAAGCCTCAGCGAGGCCAGGGACAGGCTAATTCCCAGAATCACAGGGTGGAAGAGCCCTCGGGAGGCCTCCTGCAAAGTCCCAGCGGAGAAGCAAACGCCCCGGCCCCGGCTTCTGCCCCCCTCCCTGCACACCCGGGACAGAATTCGGAACAATTGGCTCGCCCCCGCTGCGCTTCCCAGCCCGCCCGGTCCCGCTTCCCCGCGCTGCGCCCAGGCAGAGAGAAGCGAGGAGGCGGAGGGGACCCGTTTGTAGCAGGGGAGCTGCAGCTCGGACAGGAGCCCGTCCAAAGGCCCCGGGCTGGGGCACCAGAGAGCAGGAGCAGCGCCAGCGCCGCGCTCATCCAATCTCCGGGCCCTTTCGGTTGTCCCCGACTCCCCCTTCCAGCCGGGGCAGCCCCGGCCCGGGCTCCGCCTGGAACGCGCGGCTGGGTTGCTCCGTCTCCGCCCCGGTGAAGGTGCAGGGCGATGGGAGGGGGAAGGGGCCAATGTTGGAATCTGCGAATTTAAACTCCCCGCTGGGCCGGCGGGGGGCGGGGGGACGGGGACGGGGGGGGTGCGAATGG